TGTCAGCAGAGGTAGGAAGCATCAGACAGCCATGTTTTTATTAGAAATCTTGAGGCTCTGGCTAGAGCAGATTAATTTAATATTAAATGAGAGGGCCTCATCTAATATGTGGATTTTGAAATATTACTGCGCAGTCACATAAACACGATCGACATGAAATAGCCAAATCCCACAATAATTAAATTAGCTGAAATGTATTTCAGTTAAGTGCAAATAATATCACAATACTGGAAAAGTTTATTTATACTGAAGGAATCATTCGTATGAATTTGGCATTGCAAACTGCAATTTCATTCTCAGCGAAACCAAAAGTCTGATATAAAAGATTTTATCGGCCCGCCGGATACGTACATCATTATCATTGTTAAAACTTCTTATATGACCAAAAGAAGCATTATATGACAAACATTGCGACATTACATTTAAGTTCATTTCCATTAACAGAAATTTCAAGCGAAAAGGAATTTTGACAGATTTAATAATAGGTGGCATCTTTGAGCCTTGACTAACTATACTAAACTAGGTTGGATTTGCCATGATATAGCACTGGCAAAAGCAGATCAGTTTAATGCAAAATATTAAAAGGTGTTGTAACATTCAGTCAGAAAAAATTTAAATTTAGTTTAAATTCTTATTTTACTATTGGAACAGTCACGTTCGTAAATATACTATTTAGACAAAACTAGAATTGTACATTAATATGTTGTTTATTTTGCAAACAAAGAGTTTTAAAAGATGTAAACAGTGACTAAAACAAGTTCAAAATATAGAGGAATTTCTAAGAAATATGATACGCTTTCTTATTCCGCGGTTGAAAATCAAAGCACAAAAGTTGCCTATAACTCAGGGTAGAGCAATGTCACGAATGTACATGTCGTTCTGCAAATAAGAAGATGTCATTCTGCAAAATATATTCAGCCGTTTACCCACACAAGTCGACTGCATCATGCACTTTGAAGTAGTGTCTATTACTGTGTTTTGCTGCATTGTGGCATTAAATTCCAT